GCATGATGGATGATGTCCAGATTTTGCGCAAGCCTTGCTCGTACCTTTGCCCTTGTACCTGGAAAGCCCTTATTCAATGACGCAACGACACATATGACCTTCAGAAAGATTCACAAGTCACTCGTCCTTCTGGATCATCAAAGATGACAGAAACAAGATTTCAATGTCGCCAGCGTGGATAACTCAACGCAGGTGTATCACTGTTCAGGACACTGTACATCAATGATGTCGGTCTCTCAACAAGTGTCCTCACTATTCTTTCTGAATGTGTTCGACTTGGGACGCATGGAAATTGGATTCGTGGGACTAGGGACACTTCCAGTCAGTACAATGTGTTACCTCAGCAGTGCATTCTTGAGCTCGATTGGGAACGGCCTTTCATTGCCTTCATTAAAGGCGAGTATTCAGTATAAATTCCTCGCATTTTATCGGATTCGTATTTACTAACACCGATTGTCGTCAGTCTGTCAGATGGTGGCGCCTCCAGAACCTCATTAGATAAATTTAGGACATGTAAAAGGCCCACAAACAGCGCTTTACGAAAGCTATTCAGCCTTCTCAAAACCTTCGACACCTTCAAATCGCTTAGGGGACAGGTATTCTCTGCTTGACTATTACCTTTCTACTCAGAATCTTATCGGATTGTGACGACTCTAACATGTTCAGCTTGAACAATGATAGCGCGTCGGTTTGTTAAGGATCGCGCCGATATTGATGCGGTAGCGGAAGCCAACAACCTTCTCATTGATTTCACAGCCCAACAGCGACCGTGGCGCATCTGTGAGAAGCCAGAGAACTTCATATAATAGAGACGTGTTCATACCTAGAACATGAGGCACCCATGGAATCTTCACAGGAAGCTGCTGCCGCCCAACTTGCTCTTCTTCTGCAAGTCGTCAAAGATGCGCAAACGACAAATTATATGGCAGGTGTGTACTCTACAAATTCTAGCTTATAGACGAAATTGAGCTTGCTTTCTAGTGGCCGCGTTGACCATCTTGGTGTATGTCTCTCCGCTCTGTGTCAGGATGATCTATCTGAGCGAGTCGCAGGATGGATTACCTCTTGACCATCGACAAGGAGGTGCTGTATTCCCATCGACAGTGCCGTTTTGAAGTCTTCCTTACTGAATGACATCCAGGTTGAACTGATTTGGAAGCGCCCAAAACGAATTGCTGCATATTTATTTGTGTGTCCCAATCGCATTCTCGCTGATAAAACTTACTCTAACCTTCTGTAGCTTATTGTGCGTCATACTACAAGCTCTCATCTCGGATTCCGCGGTTAACATCAATACAAGAATCGTTACTTCAGCCTATTAGCAATAAGGTGAATCACCTTCACTCGATCGCCGTTTCATTGAGACTGAAGTATCATCCAGCGCACATATCAGCTGTGAGTTCCAATGCCATTCGCGGTTTGCAACCTATCCCACTCAAACTTTCTCGGGCGTATTTGATCAGTCATGTTGCGGGAGGTCCCCACGGACGATGTGAGTCTCGTTGAATTCGTGAGATCGCGGACCTCGGCTGACCTATTCCCGCCTCCTGTGTAGGAGTAAGTGTTCTAGTCGCCGGTCTGAAGCAAGCGTTGAACCTACATTCGGATTCCCACTTGCGTAGATGTGTGGCCTTGTTCTATGTGCGTTTCGCGTTCGACTTCTTGATCGTATCTCACGGAATGTCACAGCTAGAATTGGCAAGCTCTATCGTCATTACTCCGGTCGTAGACCTTGTGCTCTTCTTGCGAGTCTGGGCGTTATACAGCAAGTCCAAGACGTTGCTGTATTGCTTGCTTCCTGTGATCCTCGGTCGGTTTATGTTGTCTGCTACTAATGTACTCCAGCTGACCCGTTCCTAGTGGAGCCTATCATCATGTGTGTCCATCACCGGAATCAAAGGCGAGATGAAATTTGAATGTGCAAACAGGATTGTCCTATGTTCTAATGTCATTTCGTCAATCAAGAGTACGTTATCTTCCTATATTTGAAGGCTACACAATCTCATTGACACGCAGAGAATGGTTTCCTCCATGTTGGGTACGATTTCGTGCTTTCAAGAAGCTGCACGCTCCTCATCAGTTCCAACAGACCACTCGTCCAAGGGTGTTATCCACTGGGTGAGCTTGACATTTGGGTTCCCGAGCATCAGTATGACGGTCTTCGTACTTAAGGCAACTTTCCGAGAACAAGTTACAGTGCAATGATCTATACTCCAATGGCAATTGTGAGTACCCCACTTCTCGGATGACGAGCTGAGACATGATACTCGACAGTCCATCGTCTTGTTCATATTGACAATGTACAAATGCGGATTTCGATTCTACAAGGACAAGTTCGGCAATAACAGGCGTATGCAAACACCTCTACTATCGTTGTTCATGCGAGACGGGATATATTGGTTCGTTCCCGTGCTGGGTATGTGCTACTTGTTGTTCTTCATTGAGTGATACTGAAATTATATTGATAGGACTGTTCATATCGCAGATCATCATTACCACCCATATGCGCGCCACTCTGGGTGAAATACTGATCAAGTACGTCTGCTTCTTGTCAAGCTTTCCAACCATAAAGACCGTTCTGACGGCTCTTGTTAGCCCATGTATGGTGTACGTACCTCTTCGCCATCGAAAAAACAGTAGTTCACGTTCTTTTCAGAGGCTACTCGGTCATCACCTCCCGCATCCTACTCAACATGAAAGAAATTTCCGTCGAGAAAACAACAAACACGTCGGTATCAGACGAGTCACAGAGAGGAGGGCCAATCCTGCTTGAAGATATGCATTCTACGCCTTCAAAGCGGGTATCGTTAGGTAGAGTTACGATCGAAGTACACCGTAGTATTTAGTGATCGTTATTGTCGGTATATTATTGTAAATGAAATCCAATACCAATTGCTTTTGACAATAATTATTGGCACGAATAAACCTGAGTGGCTATCACGACGGGCGCTACGCGAGTGAATGAACCACCGGTCTCACGCGTTTAACGTTTCAGCCTTCAGCTCAAACCATGCCCTCCAAACCCACTGACTCGGACTCGCAAGCTTACGATGTCGTCTCCAAAGTCAAAGTAACCACTCTCAGAGCTTTCGTACGCGAAGTTGGATACGATGACTGGGCTCATGCGTCAAGAAAGGAGATGGAGACGATTCTAGTCGATGCTTTCAGTGAGCTTGCTCTTTGCGTTGTTCCTTTCCCGGTCTGAATGAACAGAGAACGGCAAAATCACTGCCAGCGTGAACGGGAAGGATACAGGTAAGAAAAAGAAGGTTCAGGAGGAAGAAGAAGGCAAGCGTAGGTTTACTTGATAGGTTGCGACTATTGACTCTGGGGCTCAACAGAGGAAGAAGAGGAGGAGGAAGAAGAAAAACCCACCGAGAAGAAGTCAAAGCCAAAACAGAAAACATCTCCTGAAGACGACGCGGCCAGTGTTACGACCAGGAAAACGCGAAGGCAAGCTGCTGAGGAAGAGGAGGGTGCGTGTACAATTACCCCAGGCCTATCCCTCACGGGTTACTAACATCCACAATTCTGCCAGCCAAAACGATATCCACACGAAGCAGGAAAGTCATTAGTGCGCCTGCACCTGGGCCAACGTCGCGCAAGCGTAGAAAAGACGAAGAAGAGGATAGTGCATCTACAACGGAGAGAAGAACTAGCCGACGCAAGAAGAATTAGCTGTCTGTACATGTATGTCTTGCTTTCTTGCTATCGTTTTCTCCCCCAAAAGCGCGTCAGACACTGCTTGAGGCGCGTTGGTATACTAGTATACTATCTTTGTGTGTATATTGACTATGATACATGTTGCTATAGTGCATTTAAACCAAGAAAAAACATAGATGGGTCTGTAAATGACGCCTAGGGTCCTGGGCGGTACTACTTGTGCAGGTAATAATGATGCTCGTGTCGATGGTAGACTTTGACGTGCGACGTTCCCTTTCCCTTTCCTTTCCCCTTCGATTTCACCGTCACTATCTCTTCCTCAGCCTCTTCTTCGCTGCCGTGACTTTCTTCATCTGGGCCCGTAAACAAAGAATTGTGCTCCTGATCCTCGTCTTCAGGTAGAACATGATCCATGTCGGATTCTGCTTCCGCTTCTGATGCACTGGCAGCACTTCTTCTCTTCTTCCTAGCCTCTCGACTCCTGTACGTTTTCAGCGTCCGTCCTTTGACAGGACTGTTTCCAAAAGAGAAAGGTCTCTGGACTGAAGTCGAGGGTGCTGGCGGAGGAGTATGGTATTCGTGTTTCGTAGAAGATGTTGAACGACTCGAGACGCGTTTGGGTCTGAGCTTGGGTTTGGGGCGACTCTGAGGACGAGAAAGATTTGGTTCCTCTCCTGGCTCAGAATCGGATAAGGAGTGATGTGAAGGAGAAGATGGCTTGCTTCGCGACGTAGCTTTAGCTGCTTTGGTCGTGCTAGACTTTGAGGATTCTACCTGAACCGTGGAATCGCTCTCCGACTTTGTAGAACCTCTTGTACGTTTCGGGGCCTCGAGGGTTAGTGCCGAAACTGGCTTGATATCCAATGAATCTTCTTCCTCCTTTTTTCGAGTATAACGTCTAAAGCTAGGAATTTCGACGTAAGGCGTGAGTCTGGGCTTCTTTTCTTCATTCTCCTCCAACGATTTGGTCCTGGATGCCATCTCTTCCTGCCCCTCTTTCCCTGCCTTCTCTTTTTCATCTTCCACCGCCTTTCGCTTTCGCGTCTCCGTCGTGCCACCAAATCCCATCGCGTTCCTCACCGCCTCGAGCATCTCTTGTCGACTCGCCTTTGCCCATCCAGGGTATCCAATCTCGCGAACTGCATTTCGAAGTGTCGTTGCTTTTATTTTGTCAAGGGCGTCTGACATATAGAGGAAGTGCACGTGGCAAGTGTGACTCCAGACCTGGTTTCAATTTGGATTCGGCTGTCTCGCAGTCTGACCAGAATGTGGAGATGAGAATAGCAGAACGTGAGTGGGGGTGTAGAGGCAAAAAACCATTCGCTCAACTTTGGAGATTCCAATGCGGGGAATCGAACCCCGGGCTGCTGTGTAGTCAAAGTATGAAATTTGAAAGACAGCAATGTTAGCCACTACACCACATTGGAGTTGCATGATCTCGGCAAATCACTGCGAAGAACTAGGTCCCTACATCTGTGCTCGTTCTCACCTCCACTGCTACGATTCTGATCGATCTCGATGAAAATATACTTATCATTCGTATCACTTTCTATTTCATTCCACTCATAGCCCATGTAAGAAAAGAACCAAGATCGATATTGATACCTACTATACATCGAGGACAGGGAGGCGAGAAGAACACTATCTATCTATACACATGTAACGGCGATGCAAGAAACGATGTCATGAAAACGGAGCGACGACAATATTGTACTCAAGTGAACCAAATCAATCCCAAACAGACAGTTTCTCATCCTCTTCAAGAATATCTTCAATACTCTCTTCCTGCGGCTCCCTGTTGACAGGCAGCGGAGATCGCGAGTCAGAGTTTTTCCTCTTCGATTTTGCGGTGCGCCAGTCGTCTCGAGTAGCAACTCTACCCGAATGGGTGCTCTCGTATCCGCCAGTTCCTAAGTGACAACCTTATTCAGAACCTGTGTGGCAGATACGAAGCGAGGAAACATACCTTGATAGTTAACCTTACCCTTGCGACCACCTTTGCCGCCACCTTGACCACCTCTACCACCGTTCCCATTCCCGTTCGCACCTCCTCCATTGGTGCCTCCAGACGCCTGCGCCTTCTCCCTCGCGCGCTGGCGCTCCAATTTAGCTCTCTCTGAACAAATTCCCTTCTTACACATCCTCGGTGTGTCCTTATGAATCGAACACACAAGATCTTCCTCTTTCTTCGTCTCCTCTACCTTGCTCTCCACTTCCCACAAGTTCTCAGCTGCTGGGACAGAACCGGTAGTGATTGAAGGAAAGACTGGATCTTCTTCCTCATCGAGGAAATCACCTCCACCCAGTAGATTATCCATAAAGGACGGAGTAGTCGCAATAGATACAGTCTGCATCTGCGAAGACATTTCTTCTTCGACATCGTCAGACCACGTGAATGGCTTGTTCTTAGTCAAGTGGGTGTCGTTGGTTGAATCGTTCAGGGTAGAAGTGGATGAAGCTGAGGCAAGAGAAGATGAAGTAGAGTGGGTCGAGCGAGTGAGTCCGGGAGGTGGCGGCGCAGGTGTGTTGCCCTTGTCTTGCTGAGTACTATTTGTCTTAGGAGTACTGTTTGTCTTGGGAGTACTGTTTTGGGCCTTGGTAGTACTGTTTTGGGCCTTGGTAGTGACTTTTACAGGTACGTTTAGACCAGGTGGCGCGGAGCGACCAGTAGGCGAAGTGATCCGTGGATTGGGAGCACCCCATGCGGTCTTGGGCTTTGCAGTAGCAGCTGGTGCTGTAGTAGTGCTCGTGGGAGCCGGAGATGAAGCGCCTATGTTTGGGAAGGACGGTTTGCCTTTCCCCCACGCGCCAACTGAGGTAATATGGATAAGGTTGAGATCGTGTCAAAGGCGACCAAGGAGCGTACCTTTTGCCGAGGAGGTTGTGACGTTCGGAATCGGCTCGGTCGAAGAACTATTTTGTGCAGTAGGAACGGGTTTAATCTTCGCACCGGCAGCGGGTTTCGCAGATCCAGCTATAGCTTGACCACCGGCACGAGCGGCCCAGGCACCCTTCAAGACCACAGGATCTTTTGGGTTTGGAGCTGCCTTATCTTCCAGCCAGGCAGGTGACCCAACAACTAGAGTATAACGCGTCACGGTTTTGGAGTATGTCGGACCACGTTCAACGCGTACCTGAAGGTGTTGGCTGCTCTGGAGGTGGTTTGACAGAGACAGGCAATGGGCGACACATCGGTTTGTTCGTCCTATCTTCGGCTGGTACATCACACCAATGAGTCTTGGGATATGGATTCTTGAACACGTTTCTTCACGATAGAATGAGGTGGAATCGCCATTTTAGAAAAAATGACGCGTACCCTTGGCCTTGTTTCCATCCCTTGAACCAGGCGTCCTCGACGTCTATAGTCCTCCACCCTAAACCGACGGCTTTAGCGAGGATTCGGTCAACGGCACTGTGGAGCTAGCTTACCATCCTTTTGGGCCGCTCGGTGACTACCATAGGTCGAATGAAACACCTGGCTGAATCGCTCTTGCTCTTCGGAGGTTGGGCAGACGAGGAACTGTCCCCAGCGGTGCTCTCCCAATAGGGAGTCAGTCTGATTGAACTCTTTACTGACTTCGATGAGAATGCTTCCTAGGTACGACTAGGGCTATGTTTGAGCATCTCGCTCAATGCATTTGAGTAACAATACACTCACCCTAGGCTTGTAAAGAAGACCAATCAAATACTGCTCGCCAATAATCTCTGCGATCCACCTAGCGCATTTTTGGCGGTCAGGTATCGATTCCATATTGGCATTGAGAGGATACGGTTGGTATATTGTGAAGAATCGTACATCGTCTGAGGGAGGAGGAGTGGGTATACGCTTTGGCATTATGGGAAGAGTAGGTGATGGATGGAGATAAAGGTGGGTGGTGCTGTTGAGCGTCTAATTTATACTTCCTCCTCGCCGTGACGCACAGACCAGTACCACATGCACCAAACATGCGCAGGCCATTCATTTTCCATACCAAATGTAGAATAACTAAAGGTATCAAGGTTTTCACACTATAGTCAACAAAGACTGACAAAGGGTCACAAAGATTGAAGCATGTACCAGAAATACCAGTCCTGTCTTCTCCCTTTGCTACGTTTGTATGCAAAAAGAGACCGGCGAGAATTAGACGAGTATAGCCATCACATAACCCTGAAGCACTTGAGCTAGTACTAGGCTTGTGCTTAAGGGCCTTGAGGTCGTCTAGGTCGACGAGCGGCTTTAGTAAAACGTGAGAATTGAAATGTCCTCTTCCAATGCCACTGCCATCTCTCAGCTGGTAGCCCACGGTTTCTCTTCCCTTTCAATCCAGCATCCACCACAATCCAAACTCGCAGCAGTTCTCATTCTTCTATACGACCATCCGCAATCCGGTCAACTGCGCGTTCTTCTTTCGACGCGCTCCAAATCGCTGCGCACTCACCCAGGACAAACAGCTTTACCCGGTGGAAGGAAAGATGATACAGATCCTGATTTGATTTATACTGCGCTGAGGGAGGCTAATGAAGAGGTTGGACTGCCGTTTCCGGAGGAGTATGCGGATAAGGCCAAGACAACAGACAAGATTCAGATTTTGTGCACGTTGGAACCCTTTCTTTCCGTCTATCGTGTCATTGCTCTTCCGGTGGTAGCATTCCTCGACGACCCAGGCATTCTTGATATACTGAAACCATGCGAAGGAGAGGTGGACAGAATCTTCACATGGCCGCTAGAAGGCGTTTTGGATCCTGATACCATATTGAAGGAAGAGCAGGACTTGGCATTGGCTGGTTCGGAGGACTGGCCGTTCAAAGAAGAAGAATATCATGTAAGTATCACTAATAACATGTCTGTCCTGTTGAGTATTCATTAGATGACAGAAATACAATGATACCATCGTACCCGTCCTCAACGACACCTCCTACCGATACCATCGATTCAGAAGTGCAGCCTCGCCTCTGACTGGCCTGACCGCTGACGTTCTTGCACGTACTTTTCGATTCTTACCGCTTTTTATATTTGACGGTTCCCCCACCAGATCCACCTCGCGCAGCTCGCGTTTTCTCCACGTGACACAACGTATGTCCGTGCTGCGCCTGATCAACCACTGGGTTATGAACTGGTTCTAGAGATCTTGAACGAGAACGAAGAGAAAGAACAGGGGAAGAAGTTTGTAGAAGCAACGGCACCTTCGGTGTCGGCCTAGATTTTAGATTCTCGGGATTGTATCCTGTACGGACCATGTCATTGTAAGTCTGTGCATCTGTTGATTAATTCACTGGTGGAGTTCTAGGTTTGTTTCGACGGAATTGCCGAATCTTGACGTTGAAACATGAATCGCTCGTATCATGGTGATGAGCGCCTTGGGGGTGCCAGTAATGACAACAACAAAGGCCATTATTTGTTTTGAACTGTACCGCAGTGGTTCTGCCTTCACGGGTCACTATTCATCGATTATGATGGAAGCTTCAAGACGGGAGCATGTTACTGGTCCCGGCTTCATCTTGGGTTGATCGCAGTCCATTTTATTCACCAGCGACTGACAACCATCTAGCACTATTCAGATAAGCGGGACGTGATGTTGCATCTTTGCGCTGCGGAACCCGGTCTACGTGGTACCTCAAAATACTTAAAAAGCCCACCAATCTCTGCTTACTGCGGCCCATGACTCTTTCCATGTCTGCTACTCCCCCTACTTATTCAGATCCACAGCCCACAGCCGGCGATATAAAGGTTCCTCTGGAAACGTCTCCCCAGCCTGCTGGGGTAGATGGTTCCCCAAGGCCACCCAGTCCGCCTGTCGTGGTTGAGAGGGGAGATGGTCGAGACCGGATTCTTCTCCTCTCCCTCATCGCCTCTATCCTCTTCTGCGTCACCGTATTTATTCTTTCTGCCATCGCAGGCCCAGCCTCGTCGGCTTGCTTGGGTATCATAGCCCCCATCATTCTCTTCTTCCATCATTCCTACTACCTCGACAAATACTACAAGGGTGCTCCCGATAGCGAAAGTCGTGTACCCCGAATCATCCTGCTCGTCATCCTTCTGGTTGGCGGGCTGTTGACTTTTGTGGGCGGGATCGTTGCTCTGGCTCAACGTTGGGCAAGCGATATCTCGATCGCTGGAGGATCCTTAGAGATCGTACACACCGTTATAGTGGCACTCATTGCCTGGAGGTGTTGCCGCGCTCTCAAGAAGACATCTGGCGCCATCAGAGTAAGCCTTTTCCCTGCCCAATTCAAACAGTTTTCATCTGACCATCACGTCCGCAGCTCCCAGATGACAGCTCAAACGCCACAATTCCTCCCATTAGACGTGCTGGCTCCCAACCATGGAAGCCCGTCATCAACAACTCCCTTCCTCTTCCTCTATGGGCACTCAAGATCTCAGTCGAGTTATGCATTATCATCCCCATCCTTTCCATAGGCGCCGGCGACTCACCATCCTTTGTCCTGA